GATATATGTTTTATTAGTGTTAGCTTTCTTTTTTTTTTTTTACAGCACAATGTGTCTGGGAGACAGGGTACTGCAGATACCATGCCCCTCTCCAGGGTGTTAGATAACTAACTAGAGCCGACTGCTACTGCTGGGCTGTTCTCCCTGTCCTTATTTCAGAGCAGCACAGAGTGGCAGAGCGGGTGACAAGCCCCAGGACTGTGGGGTGGGGTGCTAAGAGAAGAGGAGAGTGTTTGCTGTGTCTGTACTTTCATGTGTGCCTTTGTGCGTGTGCGCGGGTGTGAGGGGACACCTCAGAGGTCGTCTGAGGAGGCAGTGGAGCATGCTGAGAGGCTGCCATTACACAGCTGCCAAACCAACTGGACACACACACACAGACTTACAGCCGCACAAGCAAGTCGCATTTATGTACAGGCATAAGCACACAGTACTACACGCACACGAAAGCGGTACACACAGCAAAAAGCAAACAGAGAAAGCACACAGTCACTTGTCACATGCAAGTCACTGACTCAAACAGACACACACAGACATGCACAACTCGTTGCTCATTCACACTTGCAAGCTTTCCACTTGCAATCACTTCACACTTGTGCACAGATGTGGATGCATAAACACACACAAATACATAAACACACACTGTGCCCACACTTGCTGCCTGTCTGTGTCTAAAACCTTGGACTGAAGGAGTCAAGAAGGCGACGGAGATTCAGTCAGTAAATCCTTCCAATAGACAAAAAAACATAGAACCCACAGACTCATTATTTAAAATACAAACATCACTTGAAGCTATTAAAATGTCTCTGGCTTTATTTGCTTTTAGCATTTTTATGGTTTTTAGAGAAACTAACAGTGATTTCATTATTGATTAATCTGCTGATTGTTTTCAACATTAACTGATCAACAGTTTGAACTACAAAGAAAATAGTGGAAATAAATCTCATTATAATTTCCCAAGATACTTTAGTCAGACATCTGTTTTGTTTGATCAACGGTCCAAAACTCAACCAAATACGGCAGTATTTAAATAAAATATAAAAAAAAGAGAATAGAGAGTTGGCATAAAAAGCTTTGGACAATCCAAGATTAGAAACTATTAGTCATTAAACAAATATTTATACAAGAGAGTCCAATAGTTTAATTCTGACAATAAGTCCCATATACAGTGAACATGTATAGTGATATATAAATATGTATAATATATGTAACAATACACACACTCTACAGTAATAATACAGAACTGTACTATGATGTTAATCAGGGTTGCGTCAGGAAGGGCATCTGGTGTAAAACACAAATGTCAACATGCGAGTCGTCAGTGTGACGATTCGCTGTGGCGACCCCTAAATGGGAAAAGCTGAAAGTGACTTTCTATCACTATGATGTTAATAAAGTAGTACCAGTATATAATCATCATACCAGTGTAAGAGCGAGGTCATGGGGGACACAGTGCTACTACATTGTTGTAACATGCTTGTTACAATGGGCAGCGTCAGCCAGTAATGGTCCACAGGTATTGTTGGCCTTATGGAAAACGCTGCAACAGGCTACCACTGGGTTGGCGCCATTTTGTAGATTTCATTTTATTTTCTAGTAGAGATCCCAGTGTTTCCAAATATATCAAATATGTCAGGCTATAATTTGGGGAACTACTAGGAAAATGATGCAGAGATCTTAAATACTTCCATTTGGAATGGTGAAACCATAAAAACACGCAGTCTTAAGTTCAGCTAACTGAGTGTAAACATTATGTAGCTTCAGTGAAAGCTGCAACAACACTACACTAGTTACAGTACGGAGAAACAAAAGGGGGAAACTGTGGGTTAGAAAAGCATAAAATCACTGCACCGGACAATTTTGAAACCTTTGTTAAAAGTCACAGCACAGTGCTCCATCTACTGGCTGCAATATCCCTTCAGATATGATGGTGTTCTCAGTACATTGTGATAAAGATGAGACTGTGGCTCGGCTAACAAGCCCCACGCTTCCGCCCCCTCCTTTCTTTTGTGCCACCGGCAAAATCAGCACTGTTGCATCTTTCAGAATAGCACAGTGGGACGAGAAGAGCCAAAACAGAGTGTGTAGGAACTCTTTAATTTGTTATGGAGCTGACGGACAGTGATATCAATGATTCAACTATCTTATCTCAGCATGTAAATATATTCTCTCAATCTCTGTCTCTCTCTCTCGCTCTCTCTCTCCTTTACCCCCACACCACCACCACACACACACACACACACACACACACGGAAAAGCCCACACGTGCTGAATGCGCTCGTCACATATTGCAGACACACAGGAAACACTGGCAAAACACACACAGCTAGAGGCTGTAAGGTGGGTTTCTGATAACCTGCAGTTACAAGGTTAATGTGTGGTACAACACATGCTTCATGTCCAACAGGAACATTAGTGTTCCACTGCCTCATACTTTGCCATGTGTTGAGCAGAAGCACACACTTCATTACATTCATGAACCACCACAGAACTGCAAACAAAATGTGTCAGAACAAGACAAGGAAATTCACAGCGCCTCCCTCCCTCTGCCAGTCAGCCCACTAACACCACTGCTGTCCTTACGTTTCCACAGAGAACATTATGCCAGGCCAACAATCCTGGCTGTAGTATTCAGATAAAAATTGCAGCAATCTGCAGGTCCACACTGTAGGCATAAAGTAAATGTAGTACATAAAGGTTCTGTTAAAGAGCTCAATATGCAATTTGATTGCAATCCAATGTGTCATGATTAAGGCTGGGTATCATTAAAACTTTTTTTTAACTGCACCAATAAGATGCCCTGTGTTTTAGTATGTCACACTGAGGAATTAAACACTGACTAATGACTAATAGGAGGGCCGTTCAATCACTGAGATATTAGGCTAGAGAATCTTACAGCCTACAGAAGGTGACTTTATACTGTCAGATGCAACATAAAAAGATGCTGGACCATGACCTGCATTAAGCCCTGGTGGCAGCTGTCAAAGGGAGACAATTTTCCTCACAGACAAGTGTAAAAGCTGCTGTGACCAAATATACTAGAATCTGAACAAAACCTCTCAGCTAAATGGCAAGCCATGATGATGATGATGATGATGATGTTTTGGTGATCAAGATATTAATTTTGCATTAAAGCTGCCATATGGAACTATTTTCCATACACTCCAAAAACATTGCAGACAATGTGGAAATGCGAACCATACTCAGTGAGCAGCCTGGCTGTGGAGCAGAGATATTCTCTTCTAAAGGCTCAATGTTCTAACCAATCAAAAAAGGCCAAACTCGGGGGTGGGAGCTCACAGCTGTCAATCAATATGTGAACATGCTTCAGGTCTACTGCTCCTTTCTTAGACTTCTTTAAAAAAAGAGAGAGAGACTTCTGAAGCAAAAGAAGAGAAGTAAAAAGAAACAGTCACTAGTTTCTGAAGCATGGCTACTTTGTGGCTGCTGACCTGTACTGCACTGTGAAACAAAGACTAACAAAGAGAAAAGTCCCTGCCTCACAGCCATGTACATTGCTGTGTGCTATTACTTGTGAGTTCAGTCCGCTCTGTGCTGTCAGTAGCAGAGTGGACACAGTGTGCACAGAGATACGCAGTGTTAGTAGCTTTGTCACAGCCCTAATAATTGCTGTAACTGTGAACCAAAAAAAAAATTCAGATTTTTTTTTGGCTCTTTCAAAAATATTTACACCCAAAAGAAATTAGAGAACTATGAAGCCATGAATGGGTACAGTACATAAAATATAATAATATTATAAAAAGACCGACTGAGTTCAAAGTAATGGCCAGTGAACTGTACTTAACGTTCAGTTAAGTAACCCATTTTTGTGCTGTTTTAATTGTATTTGATACAAGTTTTTTTTTACAGAGTCCAGTAAACCTGCAATATAGCGCTCACTGTTTATTACAGTAGCATTACTAACAGTATTTCAGGAAATGTAGATGATTATTGTCATAATGCCGTTTACCAAGATAGTTTGTCAGAAGAGTAGCAAAAAATTTGATACCATCACAACCTTCATGTTGTTGAGCCCAGTTCACTATTTTTCTCTGACTGATAAAGAACCTTATGTTACTGTCAGTTCTTCGTTGACACAACTTTTATAACCTGTCCATTGCAGCTAGGAAATAATAAATAATAAATCTTGTGTAAGGATCATAATGCAAAGGCTGCATCAGCCCCTCACAACAATTTATTAATTAATTAAGGCCTGAATACTGTCCAACAATGTTGCTAAAATGCTGTAAATATTTTTAAATAAAATAATAAAACACCTTTAAGCCCTTAAAAATGGTCAACACCAAAAAGTATTCAAGTTCAATACCCAGTCATAATGTGAAACAATATGGTAATTGTGCAGTCCAGATGAGGGTTAGGGTAAAAACTGTGACCAAACTGATCTATAATATTTTCACTCAGCATGATGAGTCACATTAAATTCGTATTTCTGTGTATTGCACTGAAATACCTTGTAATGACATGTAAACACACAATGAAACTGTTGAGCTCTGGTAGTTTAACTTACATGACTCACTTCTGTCAGATTTAATGCCAGCTGTTGGACAATATTAGACTGGTTTTAAGTCAGGTGCACATGGAAATTTGCCAAGTATAAAACATGCCTTAATACTGAGTGGCAAAGCTTAGCGAAAACATGCCTCATGTTGCTCTTTTTGAATTTGCAATCCTCCTTCCTGGCACAGGCTTAGTGGCAGCCACAGCAGTATCAGGCAGATGTGGTTTCATCAACTGGGGCATCAAGTACTTCTTAAATTTTCCAGAAAAAATGTAATCAATAAAGAGAAACATAAGGAGAGGTCTTTACAGAACAAATCTTTATAGAACAAATTTGGCTTTCCCATAAATAATGCCCATTTAAAGTAATACAAATTCAGATTTGCACAAAAGGCACAGATCTGAAAAGATCGAGAAAGAAGCATATATATGTACATATATTGGAATACTGTATTTTGAGAATAGCTCCAGCATGTAGAGTTCACCTCATAGTGCGAAGGTCCCATCCTCGGATGGCAGTGTCATTTGCTGTGGTGAGCTGGCTGCAGTTGTGGTGGGGGCTCCACTTGCCCGAGGTGAACTTCAGCTGACCTTTGCCTTCCAGAGAAGCAGTGCTGGAGACCTGCCGAGGACAG